ACGAGCGACAGACCGACTAAAGCTGGCAGCTCTAAATGTCACGAGATTCACACAGGTGTTACGCGTTAAGGGATTATATCACCGGCTTCTATGCTTCTTCGGATACGCCTCTTCGATTGCGCACAGTGAGAAAAGAAGTAAGCAACCGTATGCATCTGGGCTATTATACGTGTATATACGCAAAACGCGACACGGCGATACGATCGCTCAGTGGATGGCGGAATCTCGTCTCCCGCGTAAGCGAGCCAAGCGTCATTAAGAGAAAATTGCAATAACGAAAGCCGGATTGATTATTACGATGCGCTGTTCGTAATGCATGATGCGCCACGTGCTTCCCCGATATTACGTCGTCATTGGAGATGCAACGTGCACGCGCGTCCACGATACATCGTGATATCAGGAAATAAACGTAGCGGTGATTAACCTCAATAATCGCAATGACGCTGAATAGACACGTCGTCGCAATCTGGACTTTTTCCGCAAAAAGTTATCTCTGTAAATGAGTACGTGAATTCCATGTTTATCAATAAAACGATGTTATCTTCCGGAAAATCGTGTCCGAAAAGTTTTTGAATCTCAAGACAAATTTATCGAATTCAATGAATAAATGCAATGAAAAAAACATAAAATTGAAAAAATACAATTTTTGTTTATAAAATACAGTTACAGATGAAAATAGTTAATCCGTCTCCAATTTGGGTCTTTTTTAATACAAGCCAAACTTTGCAGTCACAAACCTCTCATTTTGGCAGAAATTTGAATTTTTTGAAATAAAGGTTTTAACATTTAAATTAAAAAACTATTTGTAATGTAATAGGAATGTTTCAAAGTAACTATGAATTTTCTTTGATAGAATAGTAAAGAGAAACTTAGGTTGGACAAAAAAGATGGATATTATAGATCTAGATTACACAAACGGAGGGATTAAAAATTATGATTGCAGACGGAGAGTTGAGAATTAAGAATAAGAGCAGAAATAATAAGCGGATTAAAGTAGCAAGTATCATGCATTCGTAAATCATAACAAATTACTTTTGTTCTCATATCTGGCTCTTTAATGCTAGATTAATATGCCCACATGAATGTTCATTTGCAATTGCATTCCTTGTATAATATCAAGCTGTGATTCTTGTATGCTAAAAGAGATATAAAAATCGAGTTATAGGCCTTTGATTTCTTTTTTCTTCCAGATTTGCTCGCGTAATGGATTATTACTTTCAAATTAAGTTATTAAATTAATACCAACATTGCATATTTCTCAGCAATAAGTCCGTAACATTCCGGTGCGATTACGAAACCGTATTTGTAACGATTTGAATTAGGAATGCGTTTTCAAATGCTTCGGATGCCAGGCGAGATAGAGCAAGAGGAGAATCGCTTCGAATTCTTTTCGTACGGGGAAGAATAGGATACCGAGGTCGGTATTTATAATCGATTCTTATATTTAAGACCGTTTTAAGTGCAGCTTTAAGATAAACTAATGAAGAAATCAAGAGAGTTGTATTAGTACCTTAAGACATTACTTGATAGTCTTGAAATAAGAATAGATTCTCTTACAAAAATCTAATACTAATTAAAAGATAGTAGTTAATTACTTATTTAAATATATTAAAGGCATTGTAGTTTAGCATTTTTGGCACTCGAAAATAATTAATTACTGTCTGTCAGTAATAAATTGGCTCAGAGATATTCAATTTCTGTAAGGGTTATGAGAATATCGGCTCGAATCGTTCGCGATAAATGTAAGCAGAAGTTCATGCCCGGACGGTTAGATCAGTGCAGAACGATGTCGGAGAAGAACACCAAGAAGTGTTTCAAAGAACTTCGTCACAGTCGGCCGAGCGCGGTATGCTCGAGGAATTATTTATGAAATTTCGGTTTCTACTGTAAAATCTTGACGTGTGCCGCGACTACTTTCCATTTTTTCCTCCTTTCCCTTTTTAAACTCTTGTACGTGAGATGCGCGCTCACATGGCTCGAGCCAGCCCTTTCGCGTCCCTTCAGCATCTCTAATCATATTGTATTTTTTTCTGTAAGTACAGAACAGTTTATATTAAATTTCCAGGATGTTTAAGCCGCTCCTCAAGTTCATGAACAGTTCATGAACGTGAAGCTATGAAACACCAATCATTTGATACGTTTAATTTGAAATAAAATAGACATACAGCCGCCGCTTACATTAAACACGACTATACCGCTCTCTCGAACCCGTGTGAAGCTGGCCCCCCAAAACATAATTTTCGTATATCTTTTGAACTAAGGGTGAGCAAACGAAAATTCCAACTAAGCATTCGTGAGCAAACGATGAGCAAACGAATGCATGAAGAAAAACATCGATTTTTTAATATTGGGGGGCCAGCTTCACACGGGTCTCTCGATATTATGTTGAAAAAATTGATTACTTAATACATTCCACTCACGTTACAAGGAATAATATTTTTCTGTAATAACAGATACAAACAGAAAATTATCTTCCTGTAGAAGTATTTTTCTGGAGAAATTTCAAACGAGAATAATATCTATACAGGAAGATAATTGTTTATTTGTGTCTGTTATTACAGAAAAATATTATTCCTTGTAACGTGAGTGGAATGTATTAAGTAATCAATTTTTTCAATATAATATCGAGAGTGGTATAGTCGTGTTTAATTCAAACGGTCTCATGTCTGTTTTGTATCCCGATCCAAACGAAATCGACGAAGATGAATATTCTTTCACCTCGAGAAAGCTATGCAGGATTAATAACGACGTTGCCCGCGGTGAAACTGATGGAAGCTATAACGTTGTGACCGGGCCATCGTGTCGAGTTGAACGAAAGGTCAGCTCATGTAAAAAATAACTGGCGAAACGTCCGACGACGGGCGTATCCGACGTGCCGCGTTGCTTTTTGTCTCGTGTCGACTTACGCCATGCCATTGCGCGACGTTTCTCTCCTATACTCTTATCCCTTCGCCTTTTTATCCGAATTACATAATTGTATATCGAGAGCGAACGGTCTCGCGCTAGGAGAACACGAGAGAACATATTTTACACAAACGCCACACGGTGAAAGGCCCGTCTTTGCGCATTGCGAATTAAAAGTCGCCCGTAGGTCTCGATAAAGTCTCGACTCGTTTTACAGAAACGGCTGCAAGGTATCGCGATCGTGTTATCGAGAGCAGGTGCGACTACTACAAGATAGCGCTTCATAGTCAAATAGAATGGAATGGATAAAAGTATAGGCGCTCAGCTGGAGCTGGAAATATAATTAGTAGACTAATTGCCATATCATCAATAAACTCAAGAATGTTAACGCTATTTAAAGAATTTAAAAGTACGAGTTTATAGAGTTACGTAAACATTAAATGCTATTTAATTGCACTAAATATTTAATTTGATTGTAAAAGTCAAGCAAAATTGTATAAATTTATATAATTTTTTATGTAAATAATAAATAAGTATATGTAAGGTTGTAATTTAAAAAAAAATATATATATACATATATGCTTGTAATATTATGATTTCGTGTTTTAACGTGTCGATGGGTCATTAAAATGATAAGCTATAAATCAATTATAACCGCGTTACATAAATCTTTATGAACAAAAAGTACAGAGCTTGTAATTCGAATACCTACAGAGCGCTATTAGCATACCACACGAACTATGAGACAGAGTAGGGGCGAAGAATATAATTTAATCTGACGGTAACAATTAACACCTGTCTGGCACGTGTTAGATAAGGTGAAAGTTGCCTATTCCACTATCTTATTATTTTTTCGTTATATTGTATCTTCCGATTTTTCATAATACCGTTTTTATTTGGCAAAGCAAAAAATACATGCTGTTATATCAAGACAAACACGTTTATTTCTAAGTATAAATTATTTTAATTTTCTCACCTCTTTTTTCTCATACATTACAGCCAATTTTAAATCTATTTTAATGATTTTTATCCAATCTTCTTTCTCTTTAATCTTTCGTTGACATAGTAACATTTTATTCAATCCGATCGCGTTTATGTAACACTGCAGTTACGCCGGATTATGTTGTATTTATAACGGTAGCAAATCAAACTAGCAATCTCGAATTTATGGAGCACTTTGGTGCATTAACCTATCGCCGGTGCGTAACGATAGTTGTGCATAATTATAGCTGCAACTGGTACAACGGGGTCCACCGTGGACCACGGGCCCGATTGCGAAACCGCATAAATTACCTCCGCGTAAATTACACGACGCGGCTGCATCGAATGAGACGGCGCGGCAACCACAAATATTCTTTTTCTTTCCTTTCGGCAAAAGATAACTTTTGTTATCTCGTATCTTATCGAACAGGATGCATCCACAACTTGAAAAATATCGTGGGAGAACTTACATATTGCAAATGAAAATTAAACTATAAAGAAATAAGCTTATTAAGAATAAACTCGTAATTGCGTTTTTTTAGAAAGTTTCAAGAACGCCGCGTATTTTTCAATAAGAGTTACATCGATTGATTGGAGATTCTTTATTTGTTCTTTGATCATCTATTGAGAGATATAAAAACAGAACGACTCATTTCAAGCGATTGCAAGTTATATCCTGATCACGTATACTTATTTGTTGTTTTATTTATTCAATATAAGTACACATAAGTCTATAGCATATAGAAATATATAGTAAGAAAAAAGCAGTAAGAAAGAAAAGGTCGTAAGCAACCCAAGAAACACATTAAAGTCAAGAGAAAGTTAAAATGATTTTATTTTGATGTTATAAATGTCAAAACAATGAGATATTTTTATTACAAAATTTCACTGTTTATCGACGTTAAAAAAATTAGTTATTTTGATTTTTTTGTTGACTTTTATGTATTTTTATGAAAATAAGTGACAGACCAATTACAAAGGAAAGAACGTAAATAATAACGTAAAACGATAACGTAAGAAGTAACGGATCCAAAATGTTGATCTGCTTACTGCTTACAATTTTTGTATGCAATTTCTACTTTTTCATGTCCCGTTTGTTGTCTTTTCTTTTTCAGTTTTCGTGTCGATTCTCGACTTTCGTCATGGCCGTTTGTTATGCAGCGCGGGGGAACCTGGCGTAAGTGTTCAAAAAATTGATTGAATAAATCGGAAGAAAAAATTAATGCTTTTAGTCTAATTGACGCTTTTAGTTCGAACAAATATCATCGCGAATAGCAGCTACATTTTCTTTCCATTGAAGCGTCGATTTCTGATTTTCAAGTATCTGGACTTCGACAATCTGCCGGAAACGAATTTCTCATGTCAAGGAAAAGTAATCGGCGGATACTACGCGGACGTCGAAGCGGGCTGTCAAATGTTTCACGTCTGCACCATCGGCCAGAAAGGTAGTTTTGCATTATAAAAGCGAGATCCCCACGTATTGCACAATCATGCTTTAAATCATTCATATTTTAACGTACAAAAAAAATTTCGAGATTTTAAAACTTGATTTTTTTCGCGAGATTCGTTAAATAAACTTATGGAGACACGAATCTAAACTTTAAACGAATTATATTACTCACTTCGGTAGGTTTAGCACGTACCAAGTATTTTTAATTAAAAAATCTGAATAATTTACATAACGTGTGTATAAATTAATGTATAAACATTATAATTGATACTAGACGAAATCGATGACATTATGAAGAGAAATGTAATTGTATTAAAAATATGTTGCAGTCTGATATGATATTAATACAACATTAATTAAATTGCAAACTAATTAAGATCCTTTAAATAAATCAATAGTATAAAAATAAAATTTACTGCTTTATTTTGCTGGTGTTCTTTTTTTTTAAAGAGCAAAATTTCAGTTGAGTAATAAATCACTAATTGAATTCTCAAAACCAAATTCACATAATGGGGAGACAGACTCCTCATGACGAGTCGCAACCAGACTCTCGGCTTAGGTCAGTAAACGTTCTTCGACGACCGTGACATTCTCGCCATGAAAGATCTCCCGTGATCGATTACAAAACTTCGATGGGCAGCCTTCATTCGAGCTGCTTTCGAAACGATCTACTTACCGTCGATACGTGCCGATCTTAAATAGGTTCGCGCTGCTATTAATTATCGCTACTAATTCCAGCTCTAATCCGGATCTGTCTTTGATAAATCGCTGGCTCTCGGCCCCGGATCCAAACAGTCGGCTCAGACTCTTTCGTCGCGCCACGTGAACACTTGACATATAAAACGATTTGCATAATCGCTTGTACAAAATCAACTTTATGGACTGGATCGGTTCGAGGTGGACGCGACGCTTGTAGTAGGTTTCTCCGGGAGTTTAGGAGAATGGAACGAAAACGTCTCCGAAATATGCGAGAAGCGTCTCACCAAAGATAAATTATTGCGTTCTCTTAATGGAGACGCAAGTCTGGAGTGATCAACGTGAAAAATTATACTCAAAGAATCAAGTGCGAAGAATTTCAAAGAATTTTAATATATTTATATAATGAAGTCGTTTTTCTTTTAAAGAAATAACCTTGTTGAATTTAATTAATATAGTAGTATATAAAATATACCTTTGTAATTTACGAGGTACGCACTCAAAGAAAAAGAAAGCATTTTTTATAGTGGTAGCAACTCTGTATATGTAACAGTTATATAATTTACTTAAAGAATTAATGCATATGGTATAATTAAATAAACTTTATAGTTATTGCAATTAACGTTTAATGATTACAAGAATTAATAAATTTTCGTAATTATTTAATTTTAATTAATTATAACCATAATGTAGTTTATTCAACTATGTACATTAATTCTATATATAAAAATTGTCAGATATATTACTTTCATAATAGTTGTTATCATGATATGTCTTTTTCTGAGAGAATGCGTAATGATTATTCTTAATTGAATTAAGTAACGTTAATATCGGAAAACGATTGAATTAAGCAAATCCGCATCAAGAAACTCAAAGTCAGGGTCGTATTAAAATCACGACAAGCACGCCCCGTGAGTCCAGAGCATCCCCGAATAATGACCCTCTTCTTCACCGTGAGACTTGGTTTCAGACGAGATTATGGACATAAAATTCCTCTGTCTGAACGGAACCGTCTTCGACCAGGAAACCAGAGTCTGCGAGAGGGTTGATGAGGTCGACTGCAGCAAGAGTGAGCGGTTCTACAATCTGAATCTAGAGCTGTATGGCAATAACGCTGTGACACTCAGGTAATTCTATCAGGACACGCCTTATACCTTGCTATATTTAATAACGTGATTATAAAGTCCAGTTTTCGTTTTACATTCTACAGAAGGTAGCGATTTACATAAACGTATAGAAAATAGGTGTTGTCAAAAGGTTAATAATAATTCTGACTTTCTGGAAATTTTATTAATGACACGGCAAGTCGGTCGCTAATCTACTTTCTGGTTTCACATTGATGCAAATTGCTGCGAACAGAGACTGACTATCGAACGAAAGAAGTTGTTGCACATTCTGATTGCTTCGCTGGTCATATACAAGGTGTCAAATACGACCGCAATTCCTAACAAACTCGGACGTTCACTTTACGTTTCGTAAGCACCGAAGACATATACAACGTACTTTTTCTGTTCGATGTAATTTATCTTTCGTTTATATAAAATTTTACATGGATATAAATAATGACAATATCGATAAAAATTACTGAAAGCGGAAATTATTGAATGTAAATAAATAACAAAATTATATACTGTTGCTTCTCCCGATTTGGATAAAAATCCGAATTTTTTAAAAGTCAAACTTTTCAATTTAACGACCACAAGATCTTAAACTCTTAATCTTTAAGTTTGTCACTTAAGATAAACTTTTATATTAATCAAATTAATTTAAAATTGGAAAATAGTTTTTTTTCTCATATTTTAAGATTTTGGTCGTTAAAGTAAAATTAGATTTTTTGAAACATCGGATTTTTATTCAAAATAGGAAAGGTGACAGTATAATTTTGTTATTTGCCTTCACGGACACCCCGTACACGAGGTAATATCGAGTCGCCGCATTTCAAAAATTCTTGCTGGCATTTCGCGGATTGCTACATTTTTCCTGCTTCGTTTCGTTTGCGCAAAGCAGTCCAAAGCAATGCTTTCAGAAATATGATCGCATAATGTTCCCATAGCGAAAACAAAACAACGCGATGCAGCTCGGTATCTCAGGCTCGCATTTCCAGACTCGTACGCTTTATGGCTCGTGATGCGTACGTATTTTTGCACACCTCGGGGTCTCAGCGTCTCGAAATCATCGTCACGTAAAAGGCACGTACATACGTTATCCGTACGTATATACGTACACCCATAAATATTTCAACGGCTTTCCTCCGCTCGGTATCCCAGGAATGCTGGCGTCCTCCCCCTATGGCCGCGGGACGTATGCAGATAAAAATTATAACGATTAACTGTCACGACAAACGAAATTTATATGCTGTTCGACGAGGAGGCTAAGTCATCTTTTCTCAAGACGACTTCTATTTTCGGTCGACAGTAAATCTCGTTCCCGCGCCGTTCATTTTACCCTCGGGAACCAACATCCCGACCTCTTCCCCGCCCGTCTTGCATCTTATACGTTATTATCATCCGTCAGTCTTATCCAGCAATTAACGGTCGTTACTTCGAAGCGGTTATCTTGCGAGCCGCTGACGCTAGGGAATGTACGATATGACACACGAGCAGCCGCTAACGACGATGATTTTTTTTCCTAAGAATTTATAATGCGACGCAATGTACGACCACTGTGAACAGATAAAGATATTTGCTCGCCGTATCTGGACAGACATCGAGATCGCAGCCTATAAATCACCAGGCAGTGATACATGCTCTATGTAACGTAATATCTAGTATAATATCTAGTTTCGTGTACTCATGTAAAAGCGCTACCGAGAGGAGTCACAGATACGCGAGATAATGTCCAACTTGTTACGATTGATGTACAAGGTGTCCAGTAAAGACTATAATAACTTACGCTGAACAAAACTTTGGCCTAACGAATGATCGTTAATCAATGTTCAACTTAATGCCCAATTAATTTATGAATACAATAACTAGATTCATTAATATAATGGTTATACGTAACATTTCTCTCAGTGCATGAATTACGGTCTTTACTGAACACTATATATCGCTTTTAATATCGCATATCTGCTTCTTACGTCGCTTACAGCTTGAACGGTGATGACGAGGACGACCTGACGATTGATCCAGTAGAAGAGCATCAACTGCTGCGAACTACCTCGGCGCGACCCAGCACAACCAGCACAACTAGCACGACCACATCCCGACCTAGCAAACCATCCACCACGGCCGCTAGTGGTTCCTTCCAGCACCCAGCCGGTTATCCGCAGCACTATCAGCCGCAACCACCGTTCCCACAAGTACACACGAGCCAGTCCAAGTCGCTGTACGATGATAAGAACGGCGGTTACCATCACCAGTACATCTTTCACAATGGCGGCGAGCGCACCAGCAATCAGGCCACGTCTTATCAATTGTTCAGTAATCAGGGTGCTGTAAGCTCGACGACCATACCGCCGGCGCCACCCCCGCCACCCCCGCCGCAGATTCATCAGATCAGGTACAGCTCGACGGTGGGTCCACCACCGCAGATCATTCACAGCGAACCGTCTACCGTGACGCCGTTGTTCGCGACATCCTCCACGATACAGACGCTGCTCAACAGCAACGCGAACAACCCGGCGGCCTTGATTAACCCCATCTTTCACAATCACGGGATCGCGAGCACTACTGAACAATTCTCCGTCCATAGCAACAATCCACGCGAGACTATTGACTATCGTGATGATGGCGATCAGGAACAAGACATAAGAGCATTGGAAGCGATACAATCGGCGAACAAGGGCAAGGTATGTAATTTTTTGTATAAGCGCGTAAAATTGTATAATAAAACTCTTTATAAACTTAATAAAGTATTTGGTACAACAAAGAACTTGTAACTGTATTGGAAGAACCTTCGTTAAAAATATTAAAATATAATTATACATTACAATCTCTGAACATTTTAAAATCTTTCTAGCTCATTACATTACTCAAAATCTTATTAAACTTTGATCTTTGATCATTATATAGTTAATTGATTTGACACAAATTTTGCCCCTACAAAGTTAAGATCTTTTGGTTCTATTACCGAAAACAAAATTTGAAAAAGTTAAGTCGTTTTTGAGAAATTTTTTGCAGACGGACAATTGGACAAACGGACACGACGGAACAAACAAACCAGCACGACTTATAAAGTTTGCTATTCTCTACTATTTAATAAAAATATATGTAGCAGTCGCGCTAAAAATCATTTCAGTCTCTGGTTTAGCGGAGCTGACTTGATGGAAAATGTTATTCAAACTCTCTTACATTTCTTTATTTTTAATATTAGATTTCTAAGCTGACAATATCTCCGGTGCCAAGCCAGCAAGAGTCGTCCCGAACAGTACAGACGAAAACAAGTCAAACATCACAGCAACAGCAGCAGAGGATATCTGGCAACTTTTTGCCGACTCCGACCATCGTCGAGACAACTATGAGATCGTTCTATCCGACACCGAGGCCTTCTCCGAAGCCTCCGCAGTCGTCGCAGTCAGTCACTCGTCAGGTTACTCAACACATTCACGTGCCGCAGCTCAAACCTCATCAAATCACCATAAATCTGCCGCCACCAGATATCCAGAGAATTGTGCAGCACCCGTCGCCTCTGCTGCCTTCGCAGTCTCGGGTGATTGTCACGGCGAAGGCGAGCGTGAGCGATGAATCTGGTAGACCTCTGAACACTACGCAATTGGTGACACTGCCGTTGCCAACTATACCGGCTAGCTATGACGATTACAAGGAGGGTGACGAGTCCTTCGATCCCTTTTATCGCGACGTTCCAAAAATTCGCAAAAATCGCCAGAACGCGATGGAGAAAATAAGATTCTTGCGCGCGAAACGATCACTCGAGCAACCCTATCACTTCGTTTACGGAGTTGACAATCGTCAGAATTTCAAAATGGTACGAGAGGACGAGCCGCGTAAGAATGAAGGTAATGCGATAAATAAAGAAAATACGCATGTCCAGATTAACCTCAAAGATTTCCGAGCTCTTAAAGAAAGTCTAATAAAATTTAGAGACATTTTATTTAGCGACAATGTAAACGAAGATTCTTTTCATAATAATGCTGAAGAAAATAAAAATAATACCGAACGTGTTGGGATAGACAGCAAGGCTTTTGATACAATACCTATAAAGCAAGTGAAAGACAATGCGATAAAAAAAGTAGACTATTTAGAAGACTTGAAGACAGAAGCCTCTAAACACTTTAATTTAAATAAAAATGCGGATAAAGATGAGGAAGAAGAAGATGAGAAAATAAATGATTATTCATCTCCAAATATTAAAGTTAAAGCTGAAAAACCGCTTGATGAGAAAAAACACATTAAGGATACGTCAGAACTTGAAATTCACTTCGAATCTACGACTGCTCATCCTCGAAAGAATGAATCTCAAGGAGACGTTATAGACTTAATAATACTCGATTCCGACAATGATTCTAAAGTGAAAGCCACGTCCGCCAAGACTGACGCATCTATCGAGATTATCATCAAGGAGGAAACAAAATCTGGCACGCACAACGACTCGAAGACTGATGGGAAAGTTGCGCACAGAGGACAAATCGCAGAATCCCTGATAAAAGATGATCCGGAGAAGCGATCGAACTCCGTCACCGGCGAGAGAAGACAATTCGCGGTTCCGCATGAAACAATTAAACAAAATGATGGTGCCAAAGATGACGGAGAACGAAAGTCTGGTCCGAGAAGGAAGAGTTCTCGACCGAGATCATCGAAAAGACGTATATCTTCGAGAATAAGGCAGCAAAGAATGGAAAACATCGAACCAGAGACAATTCAGCAAATGGAAAGAACTACTACTACTGCTATTATTGATGCTGTTATTTCTACTTCTACTACTACAACTACTTCTACTTCTACTACCACCATGACTCCATCCATCGCAGCTTTTGAGAAGAAAATTGCGGAACAAATTGATAGTAACATTTTCGGAGACTCAGAGTCACACACTTTTAAAGAACTTGATACAAGGGCGATTGGTCAACGAGACGCGATATACTCGAAGAGCTTACAGAACGATAAAAGTTACGATGCCAGTAGAAGTAAGAACATAGAACGATCGTTTAATCGCCAGATTGTGGAAGATCATACAAAGAGCTCGGAGCTACGTACTGATAAACTAGAGGAAGAAAAACAGGAAACTGAAGTGCCAGATTATACGCAGAATACTGAAGAAGAAGATACAACCATCACTGAAAATCCGAGTAGTGCAAAAGAAGTGAAATCGACAGAAGTTACACACGTCTCTGAAGAGAACAAGTCTTCCACCGAAGAGGAAGATTCTTACAAGGAGTACGAATTTCCGGATGATGATGAAGTTGACACAAATGAAGGAGAACTCGAAGAGAACTCGCAGAACCGATCTAGCAAAATTTCTTCCGACGAAGTTACAATTTCTAATGAAGGTAACTTGGAGAAAGAATCAGCTTATCGCGAAGATGTAAGCAAGAAATCGAGCACTGATATGTCAGACGAAGAGCAGAGTTCAACGGCAAATTACAATGAAGAGGTAAATTCCGAAGAATTGAACGATTATCAGGATATAACGGAATCGTCCGTGGAGAGTACGCATAGCATTCAGGAAGATTACAGAGAGTATTCAGAAAGTACTGAGGGTTCCACGATGGATTATACGAATACCGAGGAGTACACCGATTCCCAGGAAGATATCACGGCTTCGACCGAAGATGGCGAGGGTAGTACTGAGGGTGTCCTGAAATTTACAGACGAATTGCCAGTATCGGATAATAATGAGGACGAGGAAACAACGGAAGAATCGTCAGCATCTAACGAAAGCGGCGCGCATGATTACGTCGACGACAATTACGAGCCCGAAAATTACAAAACAGAAATTACCACAAATTCGAAAGAATTTGAAGAGGACAAGAGTGAGGACAAAAACGATGGAGAGAAGGAAGATACGTCAGCGAAAGATCCTAATCGTACGAAGAATATAGAGAAGAATGATGATAGCATCGAAGTAGAAACGCAGACGGATCACGTGGCCGGTGTCACGAAGATCAAGGATCTCCAGGAAATCACAAGTTTAACTACGACTTTGTCGACTACAACGCCGGCATTAACTACGACGATATCAAACACAGCGGCATCGACTACGACAGCGTCCAGCACAACGGCGTCGACCGCGGCAACCTCAACCACAATAGAGTCGACCACATCGATATCGAGCTCGACTCCGATCACAACTGCGATCACAACTCCTCGAACGACGACCACTCGTCGACCAAAGACTACCACTCCTCGTGCCACGCCACCGAAACTATTTAAGCCTACTGGGAATAAAAGGATTTATGCTTACAATCCTCCTTCGACGACTCCGAATCCGGTTGTGATCAAACCGAGATTGGGTCTATATAATCCGAAGCCGGCGAAACCGATTAAATCTTATAATGACTTGGTGCCAAAACCAACTATCAGGAAGCTAATTTTACCTACACGAAAATCTACCACCACCACTACCACTACCGAAGCTACTACTACTACAATAGAAATGTTGAATACGGAGAATCCGGAAATGACGACGGAACCTGTGACAATAACGGCGGTATCGACGACGGCAGCAGCAACGACGACGACGGCAGCGATAACGACGGCAGCAACCTCAACGACAACAGCTGCAACGACGTCAACAGTGGCAACAACAACAACGACAACAACAACAACGGAGGCAACAACAATGACCGCAGCAGCGACGACGACGACGACGGAGTTGAGTAGAAGCGAGGAGAACGGTCTCGAGAGTAAACTGGAAACGAACGAACGTATATCTCTCTTTTCAGCAAATAATGATCAAACAAACAAGGAGGATCAACTTCCAAACCCGTCTGAGCAAAATACTTCGACCAACTCTTCGAAAAACGCTGATCCAGAAATGACGACCACGAAAATCGAAGCTTCCACTCCTTATCCTCTATCTAAATTGTTCACTCTTGCGCCTTCCATTGAGCCGACCACGAAGGAAGTAGATGTTAAACCGCAGGAAACGACGGAGGACATCGATACTCTCGTACCGACGACTATTCCACCGACGACGTTGCTGTCCGAAAAATCCGAGTATGCTGAGATTACGCCGAGTACTGAGAAATATTTCGAAATAACGGAGACCACCGCAGCTCCCACTTCTAAAATCTATGAGGAGAAAACTTCTTTGGTTTCTTCGGTCCCTCCGATTCCCGAACGTGCGACGTCGGTCTCGGTCTTGACGACCATCTTGCCTAAAGCGGAGGACTCCGATCCCGGTGCGTCGATGGAAACTGCGATCCTCAGATCAAACAGCCGGAAACTCGTAAAACCGCGGAAGCACCCGAGCTTTAATTGCCTCGAGAAAGAAATGTATCGCTTCTATGGTGACTTCAGGGACTGTCGATTGTTCCATTATTGTTCGCCCGGTTTTACCTCGCGACAGGTGCTGGACTTCCGGTTCGTGTGCGAGGAGGGCACGGCGTTTGACGAAGTGACGCAGAGTTGCCGTCATGAAGTGCGTAACCGGAAGTGCCGAAATCGCTCCTGGTGAGCGTCCACGAGGAGAAATGAAGGATGCTCCACCGTTTCGTTTTCTTCGAATCTCGTGTTTCCTCGATTCCGTTGATTTTGGTAATTCGTGAATCCTTTAGGACTCTTTAGTGTATTTATATTTTCTTCCTTCCTTTTTTTAACACTCAATACGTAAGAAATACCCGAAGAAGAGGGCTCCCTTCTTCTCCTAAGCCCATTGCCATAGCGCTTCGCGCTGGATTCACACTTATTAAAGTTAATGCGTTCTAATCGACTCGCGATCATCGATTGGATCAAAGAGGGAAGCGAGGAAACATCGTTGGCGCAGTTTCGTTTGAGAAAAGAAGTCACACTTATCGTTAGCGTTAAGTAAGAAAGCGAAAAAGTCGGTTCCTACGTTGTGTCCTCGGGACATATTGGCGCGAGAGACATTAAGCGAAGATAGTGAAGTCGCGTGACTGTGAAGCGATTTATTATATATCGCAATCACTCGTCGAGCGAATGATTCAGATCCGCCAAACGCGAATTTCTGAACGTTGCCGAATATTGCCGAAGAAACTACGCCCTATGGTTTATCCGTGCTCTTGGCATCTTGCTCGTACGCAGCGCGATAATGAATTAGCCGTCTTTTTGACCGAATAAATAATTTTATCGAGATAAAGTCGAATAGGTATATTTTTGATAAAATATTTGCGACTATGCATTGTACTCACAGTACAGAATATCTAAAAATATTTTTAATACAAGAATCTTCTCAGAATTTCGTATAAAATATTTTTGATAAAGCAATTTTTCGAAACTGTATTTTTTACAAATTTAAATAATTTTAATTGACAAGTACATATCGAAGTATGTCGAACTAATAATGTTATCGAGATGAAGTCGAATATATCTTTAATAAAATATTTACGACTATAAATTTCACTCACGTCAGTGAAGTATATCTAAAAATATTTTTAATAGAAAAATCTTAGAATTTCGTATAAAATGTTTTTTTAATAAAGAATTTTTCGAAATTATTCTCTTTTAATTTAAATAATTCTAATTATCGTGTATATATTGGAGTATGTTGAAGTGAATATTGCACAGATGATCGTATTGTTTAAGACATTCGTCAAATTAATTCGTCATAATATCAAAAAGTGCAATTAGATGAAACGTCATTGCTCAAATATCTAGATACGAAGGTAGCTCGATAAAATGTAGATATCTCGAAGTAACGTGCAAGACATATAGTCGATTTAACGGATGCGTTACAATGATATATGCGAGAAAGCCGAAGGAAGAGAGATCGCGGCTTACTGTTTGCATAATTTGTTTCGTATGTACAATTATACGCATTCTGCTATCAGGTGCGACAGGCGGCATATCCATAACGTAATGCCGGTCGAATAATTCGCGTTACATCTCGTAAATGCTCTTAATTTCCTACTACTAATTAGCGCGCTTTAATTACGAGCGGAAACGAGTGCGCCTTTGAGTCAGCCGTAGATAGAGCGTAGACATATATTTTTGCGAACTCTCTTTCTCCGAAATATCTGTCTAGCGATTTAGTTTAGATAGAATCTAGGAAATTCGTACGTGCCGCCAAATGTGCGTGTAACTCGTTAATAAAATTACCGCGTGTGTATTTACGTTGCGCGTATACGTTTCAACAACGTGCACACACACGCACGTCCAAATCTGTATCTATTATAAATTTTTTAAGTAACTGTACCATGTCAATAATAATTGTATATTCTATATGTACACGTACATTTATTTTATCTTTTAAAAATTTCCTTACGCTTATCCTCATCTTTACGTGTACATTTAAAACTAAACTACATGCCTTCTTTATAATTTGTGTTTATATGTTTTATTAAAAACATAATTTTATTTAATGAACTGAAATTAACTTTCCAGGTAACTTTCTTCTAATATTTCTTTTCTTTCTTGAAAGGAGAAACTAAAGTTATGCGTTTACGCATAAAATATGTCTGATAATCTACATGTATACATAATGTAAACTATATAAATCATTTCACATGTCGTCTATGTAAACAAGCTTTAGATTAGCATCGAAACTTATGTTTTTTGTCCGTTGCACTAAACTGTACTAAAGCTTTTTTCTTGCTTATTGTATATCTTTATCAATATTAATGTCAGATATAATATAAATTAACGGCCATAAAACTTAATTATTTTTGTTTGTAATGTGTGTTGTTTAATTAATAATAATTTACATATTTTACATTGTTTTTATCATTATTATGAAAAAAATAGGTAAAAATTTTACATAATCTTGAAATATACAGCACAACCTTGGAAAAATTATACTAACTTGATGACATTACCTTCAGTTACTAAACGTCTTGAAACAATACCATTTGATAAAATTAAGCAGTATATATTAAAGTGCAAACTTATCTGCAGTCGTTAAATGCTTCATTACTCTTCTGTGCTGAATGTAGCAAATAAATCTCGTAAATAGAAATTCATTATTAGGAAAACTTTTAATAAAATTATTATTGGATAAAGTTTACTAAAATAAATTGTCAATTGCAGAATTCAATGCTATAAAACTATGCCAATTTGTAATCTTGACCTTCCTAATTGTAAAACATATCATAGGGTGTCCACTGGGAAATGGGTATTTATTTTTTTACATTTTTATTAAAAGTTTTCTACAATCCTATATTAAATACATATTCTTAAGGCAACTTAAGCAATAGTATATACATACATTATTTATGGCATCAGCGCACGGCATCGTAATTCGATTTTTATTTTATTCTCATTATAACATAACAGTTTTAATGTTTTAAATCATTATTATACATGATTATTATTTGCATTTATTGGCATTTTCTCATGTCAAAAATAAATTGTACTATATATTTTGAAGTTTAAAATTCTTGATTGCAGTTCTTTCGCAATTACTATGCCGTCAATTTTTATTTTCATTCTTCAATTCTACCAGAATTTAAAACAGCCTAGCCTGTTTGTAAGATGGAGTGGTTCTCGCTATTGCTTCGTGTTCGCTAAAAAATGTACATGAAATTAAATTAAACATATATTCTCTATTTAATAAGATAACATCAAGAAAAGGATAAGAATTTTACAGTACATATGACAATAAATTAGCTTATTTTTTAATTAACAAGTATAGGTACTTTACATTTTTCGTAGATTTTTTATTTTAATATTTTTTAAGTATTTATTAAAGCATATATATATGTATATATTTATTTATTTACAAATATTATTTGTATAATAAATATGAGTAAACAAAATACATCCTGTGGTAAAAACGTTTTGAAATATTACTCACCAGCCGGTGACATTTTCCGCAGCGTCGCAAGTGTCGATGAGCTCGTTGAAGGCATTTCCAATGCCGCAATTTTGCAGTCTCGGACGGCCGTTTACACAAATATAATAATGATGGCAGTCAGCGGGGCTACGATAAAATTTAATCTCAGCATCCAAGAAGAAGTCGTTCCTTACCTCCGGACAACGGAAGCCAAGGAAGGTCTCGGCGTCGCAGTCAGGCACTTGATCCGGCCAATCACATCGATAGGTCTGCGGATTGAAGGCCAAACCTTCCGGACAGTCAAACACATAACCCCTGCCGTCCACGCAATTCATAAACTGCCCGCAGTGTTGATGATCACCGATCTTAAAGTAACCGTATTGATGAGGACAATCGTTGGACGGGTTTGCCGGTTCTAAAGAAAATTTAATGATTTATTTTATCACTTAATCGTGTCTTGACGCACGAAAAAAGTAGATTGTATAATTTGGTAAAGCTATATAGCTTGCTGTACAAATTCAATTACATTTACAACTCAAAATATTTGAAAGTTCAACAAAGAAATTATATCTGTAAGCAATAATTATTAGTACGTCAACTCAGCTAACTCTTTAATGAAAATTGCTAATGCAACAAATTTTCTTCATTACAGCAGCAAAAGTACGCAAAAGTACAACTTTTATCAGGGAGAACTTATTTATATACCTATTACCTACGTCTGTAGATTTGCTGCATCAATAAAGTTTTTAGTTATATATATTTTAATTTATTTAGTTATTTTATCTTTCTTTCTCGTTTGTGATTGACCTAATTTACCAGAATTTCTTTTCATTGAATCTCCAACAATTTTAAATAAATAAAGGGCAAGATGATTCTAAAGCCTGTTGTACAATGTGCATTTTGTTTCTTGTTTCTTCCTTTTTTGGTACTTTTTACATCTTGTCTTTTTGTCTCTCATCTCGTTTTTCGTTTTGTGCCGCCCAAGATAAAAAAAACCAGAAAATAGAAATATAATTATCAATAAAACGGTTGCAAAGAGGGAAGAAAGCAAGAGATAAAAAGAAAGAAATAGGAAAGAAAAAGCACATTGTACAATAGGCATAACTATTCAATGTTTTTTTTGTTAAAATCTTATATGATAGAATATTTCTAATAAAAATTTATAATAACGAAGTATTGCGAGAAACTCACGCAAATTCGGCCTGCCTGCACAGTCTATGTCGATCGGATATCCACAGGGATAGTTGAAACGAGCTTCAGGATTGAAGAATAGACCTTCGGGACATAACTTTTCCTCGGCAATTCCATCGATGCACTCAATGTAAGCGTCGCACTGATTCTGTACCGGAAAACGGCCGTTCTTCTCCGGACATGACGCGGATGAGCCACGTTTCGGCGAGAATTGTTGCAGACCGCGATTGAGCTGATTGTCAAAAAGTTGATTCGAGAATCTGCTGTTTTGATTAAGCGCTGAAATAATAATTATCGTTTTAAGAAAATTTTTACTTTTAAATACAGAGTACATTTTTTATCGCATAGTAATTCGCATCTATTGAACAATCATCGTAATTCCTATCAAGCATAAATTAAACTGCAATGAATATAAATTAAACTATTATTTACTTTAATACAAATAACTGTAATAAAAATATTTTCATATCGATTATATGCAAACAAAAAATGTTATAAAGAGATTTTTTTTAATGACACATTATTTTAACTTATATTCTAATCTAATTTATAATTTTATTTTGTTATTTCGAAAATTTTCATGCCGAGGAAGATTATAGTACAACTGAAATTCACGTTACATTAATTATTAATATATCAATTTATTATTATGACATTATAATAAATATATATTGTTTAATTAACTTCTTATCAGTCTTAACTAACTCATATTATTGACTATTAGTTTCTTTAACTGCGTTTGCATGTATCGAGCTTGATTAATGATTAGTTGTAGAGAGAACTTTTTCTCTTCTATAAAAATCTGGCTACCAAATTCGCGGAATAAACGATTCCAAGATATCAATATAATTTAATATTGCGCATAAAACTCGTCAAACGAGTCCGTCCAGACAGTATTAATAAGTAACGTTAATGCAGTGTATGTGATTATCGCACGGCGAAAGTTCGTCGATTGCCGATGTTCGACCTCTACAAAGATATTGCATATATAATGTTACATGCGCATCACTTGCGCAACGCGTTTGCAACCACGATTTCCAGGCAATATCGAATTTGACCCAGCTGGTCTGAGAACGT